ACTTTTTCCCATTTCCATCCCTCCTTCTTTCCTAACCCTTCTGAACTTTGTAAATGCTGCCCTGTGGATCTCAAATGGTTGATTATTCATTGGTGTTCCTGTTTTGCTGAAAATTGAGCCACAAGAGTGAGTTCTGTTCTAGACTTGGTGATTAAGGACATAGTCTTGGGGGTTCCCCAAGTCTCTGTCTGACCAGTAAGCAGGCCTCATCAGTGATTTTGATTTTGATTCCACATTTTTCTTTCAATGTACCAAGATCTTCTGATGTGATTCCTTTCAGAGCAGTTGGTAGTGGTAGCCAGGCACCATGTAATGCTTCTGGTCTCAGGGTTGTGAACACTGATGTCTGTGTGGTCCATTAGTCCTTTGGACTGGTTGTTTCCATGACTCTTTTGATTTTCTTTACCTGTCTTTCCTTTAGATAGGGAGAGCTGAAAAATTGATGGCCACTTGTGAAATTTTAAGACCCTAGGGGCTACTCATCCAAGTGGGGTGTAGAGCATTGTTTTTGTGAATTCTCCTATGCCAATTGATCTCAGTGTCCTCTGACCCTGTAGTCCTTAGCCCTGAGGCTCACTCACTGACTCATTTCTTAAAGGTTATATCTAAGAACTTGTCATAATGTTCCACGACATTCATGGATATATTTGCAGCAAAGATAAATACTCATATAAATATCCATGTCAAACCTATATATATTTCTGGGTATACTCCCACTCTCCCTTCCACATCAGATCAGCCTGCATGTCTGTCCACACAGGGCTATTCCTAGATCACAGTTATTGCAGGGCTGTGTCGAAAACAGTATTTACCTTTGTTGCCTTTAACCCTGCAACCCTCCCCATGTCTTCTATCATGTTTGCCAAGCTCCCCTTTATTGTATATTGTCTCCTCTAACCCATGTTAACAGGACTTAGCGAGGTACTACTCCGCAGTGAGTCAGCTCATCTTTGTCTCTAGGATTGCAGACCGACATGTGAACAATTTAGTGATAGCATAATTTTGAAATATTTTGCATGGTAAAGAAGTAAAGAGTGAACCGGGAATGCTGTGGGAGTTGATAAACTGATAGTATTAAGAAGAAATAATTTCTGAAGCTGCTTTTTAAAAAAGAGACTATTATGAATCCTGGTTACAAAAAGCCATCAAGCTTCAGTGGTCAGGTTGGAGGCATTAAATTATATCTAGTCTGGGAGGATTCACATATAATTGTAAGAACATCATCAAATGATTTGGAAATAAAACTAACAAGGATGCTTTTTCGGTAAACAATAATCTCAATTAAATCAGCGATTTCTCTTTCACCTCACCTTCTAACAGGATTGACCTGAGGTTTATCTCTGGAGGGAGTTTCCATAACTTTGCTGGTCAAACGTGTCTGCTTAAGTCATATAGTCACAAAGGACCTCTGGAATTCTCCCATGAATTCTTCCTATAGTAATTTTTTGCTGTTAAAACAATTGTTCATAAAATCACCATAAAATATTCCTTGGTATCCCCAGAGCTGCTGTCAGATCAGCATTCACTTCTAACCACAAAGTCAGCTGTTCAAACCTACCAGCTGCTCCTTGGGAGAAAGATGAGACTGTGCCTGTAAGATTTACAGCATAAGTGAACCCTATATAGCGTCACTCTGAGTTGGAATCCACTGGATGGCATTGGGAGTTGGGATATTAGATTTAAGCTGTCCTCAAATGGTTTGATCTCAGAGTTCTTTTATACTGTGAGAATTTTGATATGTGGTTTTGATTAAAATATGTAGGGAAAATCTGGCCTCACAGAAATAGAAAAGGGATAAGTATCTTAATAGCTTCTTTCAGACAGTTGTGGACATTCTTCTCAGCTACTGTGCTAAACTCCAGTATGTGGTCATTTCCTAAAGGTTAGTTGGAATGGTCAGTGGATTTTCTTAGTTACATTAAAATTGTTTGGTCCATCTTACAGTTTGAATCTTTTACCCATATGTGCTTCTCTAACACCATTACTTGGTTATTTGGAAATATGAATTCATTGATTATTCACATCTTCCAAATATTAGCACATTTCATTTATAAATTGGCAACTCACATTTATTAAGGTTCTCACTGATTTCAACAGAGAAGTAATTATAGGGAAGTTGTCAAGGTGATCGCAGCAGATAAGCTTCCCCCAAAGTCTAATTTTCACTAGAATAGTTGAATTGGGTCATCAACAACAATCATTTCTTTAATGTGACAGGCTCACTGTTCATTTTGTAAGAAACTGTCAAATACTTGTCTGAATAGCCATAATGTGTGTGTCAGTCATTCTTTTGAGTAAAGGTTGTGTTTCATCAGAGAAGCGGCTAGTTCATCTCTAACTGGATGCAAACAGTGCTATTTCTAGAGAGCACTGTCACACTCTGAGGCAGCAGAAGGGATTTGTATATATGTTCCACCATTTGTCACAGAGAGTATTTGAGGGTTGGGATTTAACTGTACGAATCATCCTCAGTGTATCATCAAGGCCACACATACCCACCCCCACACCCCGTTAACCACTAGTGCATGGTGGAGAAGAATGTAGCCACTGCAAGTACCATTTGGTACCCTGCCTCATTCATGCTAAGACACCAGCATCTTTATCCACTGTTGCTTTTGCATCATTAGCACAAGCATCACCACAGTGAAAATGGCAAATATGTCATAATCTCATTGTGTAAATCATTTT